GAATTTGAAAGATAACCAGCAGTCAGCAGCTGTTCATCTCTTCCTGACCCTTCTTTTCAGTGATGACATAACTGCAACTGCACATGCAACTGCGTAGGTGGGCCAAGGGGTCACGACTACCCCTGGCAGGTGCTGGCAGAGATGTTCGATGCTGCAGCCCCTGTTGGCCGCTTAACGCCTTTCCAGTTGGCTGCGTTCAGTCCAGGCAGGTGAAAGGATCAAAGAAGCCTCCCTGCCATCAGCCAATGGAGTCCCTGGGGAAGTGGGCTATTCTAAGTTAGGTCTGCCTGAGTGTAACATTTTCTCTATTCCACAGTTTTTTTGAGGGCTAAATGGGAAAATGTGCATGTCAGAATGAATTTAAAAACCACCAGAGTCTATTATTTGTAAGTGGGAGAGGTCAGGGGTTTTAACTGCTAGAAGGAGGTGTTCATGTGGTTATAATAATTAAACATTGAAAGCTGCCTTCTAGATAGGATGGGATGAGCTCATATGTGTGTACCCAGTTGGTAAAAGAAGATCCATTGCTTAGTGGTTAGGGAGCAAGTCAGTTTGGATACTTGCTAGACAAGTGAAGGTGTAAGTGGACATTCCTCCCTCACAGTCCCTCCTGAGGACGGCCTACTTCCTGAGAAGTTGCCTTGGCCACACAAAGGGAAGGCGAATGATCACACTTCCAGGTCTACACTTTTATCTTGGTTTCAGTTGGTCATGGAATTAACACCAGAAAAGTTAGAAATAGAAACTTAATGACTTAACAGTTGTGAACAGATTAAATATAAACCATGTCAATTTACATTTATTATAATAATTATAATGTCAGAATGAAAGAAAATACATTCCTCTAATGTGTAATATATAAATGTATAAGGATATTGTTTTTAAATTAGGAATGTATTACAGACAGAGAAGGCGTCAACAGATCTTAAAACATTAAGTGTGTTATAATTATCCTCAACTGAGAAAAGCACTTAAATATAGAAATAAAATCTTTCTTAAAGCAAATCAGTTGGCAGTTAGTAAACATATCAGTTTTTGTACATGAATATGAGTGTTCTGCCCTACCTGAAAAGTATATGGTCACTAAGACACAATATTAGCAACACATTACATCTATAAAATTAAGCTAGGAAGACTAAATTTCTCTTTTAATTTAATTTTAGTTTTCTTTCGTATTCTGAGTTTGATAAACAAAAGAAATTCCATAGTAAGTTTGGATTTAATTAATATCTGGAGGATGCTAAACAAACTCAATTATTTTTTTTATTTTGGTATCATTAATCTATAATTACATGAGGAACATTATGTTTACTAGACTCCCCCCTTCACCAAGTCCCCCCCACATACCCCTTTAGTCACTGTCCATCAGCATAATAAGATGCTATAAAAATCACTACTTGTCTTCTCTGTGTTGCACAGCCCTCCCCATGCCCCCCACCACATTATACATGCTAATGGTAAGGCCGCCTTTCTTCTCCCCACCCCCTTCTCCCTCCCTTCCCACCCATCCTCCCCAGTCCCTTTCCCTTTAGTAACTGTTAGTCCATTCTTGGGTTCTGTGATTCTGCTGCTGTTTTGTTCCTTCAGTTTTTCCTTTGTTCTTATATTCCACATATGAGTGAAGTCATCTGGTACTTGTCTTTCTCCGCCTGGCTTATTTCACCGAGTGTAATACCCTCTAGCTCCATCCATGTTGTTGCAAATGGTAGATTTGTTTTCTTCTTATGGCTGAGTAATATTCCATTGTGTATATGTACCACATCTTCTTTATCCATTCATCTACTGATGGACACTTAGGTTGCTTCCATTTCTTGGCTTATTGTAAATAGTGCTGCAATAAACATAGGGGTGCATCTGTCTTTTTCAAACTGGGCTGCTGCATTCTTAGGGTAAATTCCTAGAAGTGGAATTACAGGGTCAAATGGTATTTCTGTTTTGAGCTTTTTGAGGGACCCCCATACTGCTTTCCACAATGGCTGAACTAATTTACATTCCCACCAGCAGTGTAGAAGGGTTCCCCTTTCTCCACAACCTCACCAACATTTGTTGTTGTTTGTCTTTTGGATGGTGGTGATCCTTACTGGTGTGAGGTGATATCTCATTGTGGTTTTAATTTGCATTTCTCGGATGACAAGCAATGTGGAGCATCTTTTCATGTGTCTGTTGGCCATCTGAATTTCTTATTGGAGAACTGTCTGTTCAGCTCCTCTGCCCATTTTTTAATTGGATTATTTGCTTTTTGTTTGTTGAGGTGCATGAGCTCTTTATATATTTTGGATGTCAACCCTTTTTTGGATCTGTCATTTATGAATATGTTCTCCCATACTGTAGGATGCCTTTTTGTTCTATTGATGGTGTCCTTTGCTGTACAGAAGCTTTTCAGTTTGATATAGTCCCACTTGTTCATTTTTGCTTTTGTTTCCCTTGCCCGTGGAGGTATGTTCATGAAGAAGTCACTCATGTTTATATCCTGGAGATTTTTGCGTATGTTTTTTTCTAAGAGTTTTATGGTTTCATGGCTTACATTCAGGTCTGATCCATTTCAAATTTACTTTTGTATATGGGGTTAGACAGTGATCCAGTTTCATTCTCTTACATGTAGCTGTCTAGTTTTGCCAGCACCATCTGTTGAAGAGACTGTCATTTCCCCATTGTATGTCCATGGCTCCTTTATCGTGTATTAATTGACCATATATGTTTGGGTTAATGTCTGGAGTCTCTAATCTGTTCCACTGGTCTGTGGCTCTGTTCTTGTGCCAGTACCAAATTGTCTTGATTACTGTGGCTTTGCAGTAGAGCTTGAAGTTAGGGAGTGAGATCCCCCCCACTTTATTCTTCCTTCTCAGAATTGCTTCAGCTATTCGGGGTCTTTTGTGGTTCCATGTGAATTTTATCGAACTCAATTATTTTTGTTATTTCTCCTTTCATAGGGCAAAGGAGTCAATATTTGTTGTGTGTGCCTAGTGGCTGTTCAGGAAATGTCAAAGCTATTTAAAAGACATCGAAACAGTTTCATGATTCTAAGTTGGGGACACAATATTAAAATGACTTGTCAAAAGAGCTTGGCCACAGAACAAGAAATATATTGTCTTGGCACCCTCATTGGTAAAATTGAAAATACAGCATTTAAATTAACATGATGGAAGGTAATATGATAATTAAGAATATCAATCCTTTCTGAGGAAGCACCTGAATGGCTTCATCTAAAATGACATAAGACACCCACTTCCGGAGCTGGTCAATATGAAGAAGCTTTTCTCTGCCACAGATTATAGCTAAAAACTCTGGACAATACACAAATCGCAATTACCTGATGACTCTGAAAAGGAAAAATAGTAGGCAGAATAGGGAGAGGGGTCAAAGCTTCAAGCAGCGACCATATAGGGCGTGAGTTTCGTCTTTTAAATTCTTTCAGCTTTGACCTGTGGGTTGTCCTACTTGTCGGACTATGGACGGCAAGAACTTGAAGAGAATTCTGCTCTGTTTTTCTAGCCAGACTGTCTGCAAACCTGAGAGTGTGGGTTGAACTCCCACATATTGTCGGAGATTGTCTGATTGGCCAATAAAACAAAACCTAACTATATATTGACTACAAGAAACCAATTTTTAAATAATGACATAGGTTACATGAGGAAAAAGATGTACCATGAAAATCCTAATCAATAGAAATGTGGAGTGACTACATTAATACACAAAATAGACTTCAGAACAGAGAAACTTACCAGGGATAAAGAGGGGCATATTTACAGTGATAAAATGGTCAATTCACCAAGAATAACAATCCTAAATGTGTGTGCACCTAAGCTTGAAAACATATGATAGAATTGAAAGCAGAAATAGACAAATCCATAATTATACACATGTAATTAAAAAGTATGCAATGTTAAATAATAACATTTAAGTTAATAGACTTTGACTAAAGCAGATTTTCCTCCATAATGTGGGTGGGCCTCATCTAAACAATTAATAGACTAACAGCCCTCAGATTGTGGACTTCATGATTGCCTGAGCCAATCCTTAAAATCTCCCTCCCCCACCCTCTCTCTCTCTGTCCTCTCTATATCTTACTGGTTCTGCCAGCATGTGGTGGGAGTAGCAATAGTCCCTGAAGCTGCTGTGCCTGAATCCCCGACGCCATGAATATGTGACCTTAGTGGCATGAGGGACTCTGCAGGTGTGATTAAGTCTACAGACTTTAAGATGGGGAGATTATCTTGGATATTGGGGGTGTGGGTATAATCTAATCACTTGGCCCTGACTGTGAGAGAGGAAGAGAGAAGGGCCAGAGGGATGTGGTGGTAGAGGAGGCAAGGGAGAGGCCATGGGTAAGGGGGGAGAGGCCATGGGTAGGAGGGGGAGAGGCCACAGGTAAGGGGGGAGAGGCCATGGGTCAGAGGGCCTTGAGCTGCCACTGCTGGGGGAGAGGCCACAGGTAAGGGGGGGAGAGGCCATGGGTCAGAGGGCCTTGAGCTGCCACTGCTGGGTGTGCCGATGACACGGGCCGTGCAGGGGTAGGGACGTGGCCCCTAGAGGCTCAGATCAACCCTGGCCAAGAGCCAGCAAGGGAACAAGGACTTCATTCCTACAACTCCACACAGCTGAAGCCTGCCTACAGCCCGAGGGAGCCCCAAAGTGGATCCTGCCCCAGAGCTGTGTCCTGGGGATACCTTGACTGTGGCCTTGGGAGACTTGGAGCAAGGAAACCAGCAGGGCCCACTGAACTTCTGGCCCCCAGAACTGTAATAATAAATCAGTGTTATTTTAAACTACTAGGTTTGTAGGAAATTGTTTCGGCAGCACGAGAAAACCGTGGCTTCTTCACTTCCTTGCTGGCGAGCCGTGCTGGTGCTCATACTGCTAAGTCAGGCTTCGGCTGGTCTGGCTGGGAGCCTAGAAGACTTTTCCAACATGCATCAGAACCATTTACTTCTTTGTTCTCTTCACTTTTTACCGTGTGTTTCTTTTCACTGTTTTCACCCTTCACTCTGTTATTTGAACAGGCAAGGCGAAGCTTTGACGTGAGTCCTCAGCCAGGCGCTGCCTCAGACCCCAGGTCCCGGCAGCCTCGTTGTGCCTGTGGCCTCTCCGTCCTGCAAGTTCAGCTGCTTTCTAGTGCAAGATGGTCTGGAAGAGCAAAGCCCACTGGGGAGGACCACAGCTCCACGTCTAAGGTAACATTCCTGATGACTTGGTAGAGTCGCTGGGAGCACTGTTTCCTTCCCAGAGTGGCAGCCAGCCCCCAGATGGCTCAGGAGGGCGGTGGCTGTCACTTGTCTTTTGTGGACGATGCACTTTAAGCCCCTAGAGAGGCTGTCTCCTTATCTGTCACTGTTACACTCCCGGGAGGAAAGGGGTGGGAATTTTTGCCCCAGGCAGGGTTTTCTCGGGTTCTATGTGGCCTGGTTTGTGCTGTTTTGTCTGGGAACATCTCATGTTTGGTGTTAGGGGCTGGGTTACGTGCCCCCCCAACCTGCCCCACTTCAGAATGAACTTGAGGTCCTAAGCCAGGATATGAACCTGTTTGCAGATGAAGTCTTTAAAGAGGTGAAATGAGGTCACTGCGGGGGCCCTAGTGCAGTGACTGGTGTTTTTATAGGAAGAGGCAATGAGGACACAGACACGCACAGGGGGACGCCCACGGGAGGACACGGGAGAGGGTGGCCGTCTCCATGCCCAGTAGAGGCCCGGGGAGGAAACAAACCCTGCCCGCACCTGGTCCTGGACTTCCAGCCTCCAGACTGGAAGGCGGGTTTCCGCTGTCTGCACTGACCAGGCTGTGGGATGTGTTACGGGAGCCCTGGCGACTCATACTCTGGCCTGTGGCTTTGCTCAAGTTTTTCTCCATCTCTGATCCCTCTGCGAGCAACTCCTCATGCCCCCTTTGGTCTCTGTGACTGCGTCCCCATCTCCGTAGTGCAGGTGGGGGACAAGGAGGCTCAGGAGGGCCCTGAGCTGGTGTGGGGGGCCCTGAGGCTGAGGACTGGTGAGACCTAGAGACGCAGGGGTACATGAGACAGGCTGAGCGTGGATGACGGGGGCAGGACGGCCTCCCAGTGCAGAGGGGTCAGAGGGAGGTTGGAAGCCTGGGCAGGTAGACGACAAACAAAATGCAAGGGAAGCTTCTGGAACCTCTCCATGGGGGAGGGGAGCCGAGGTCTGACTGTTGCCTAAACTGCTGCTTCCTGGCTTGGGCACTTGGGGAAGGGGCTCCTAGGCCGTAGCCTTCCTGGTGCTGGTGTTTTGGGCGTCAGGATACACACCACTCTCCCACCGCGGGAAAGCACCACTTCTTCCTGACGACCCCCCAGGATGTACCATTTGCTTCTATCTTAGCATCTGTCACTGCCTGAGACACATTATCTCCCTGTAGATGCAAGTGAATGCAGCAATCAATCAAGAAATACAGCTACCACCACCACTCTCCGTCTGACAAGTGTTATTCATAGAGCACAGCAGGTCTGGGGGCGACTGGCTGAAGTGGCACAGCCAGCTGGAATTTGATAATTTGGAGTCAAAGCGGCTGGAGCTTGCGGTGAGAGCTGAGGGTGGGTACAGACACCCATTGTAGATGCTCTGGTCCTCATGTTTTTAAGAACTCTTGAGGCAGGTCAAGTGTACGACAATGTGATGGCCCCATCCTTGCTTCTACTGTAGAATCCGGAAAGGAAGAACTGGGCTGCATAGATGATTAGCATCTTCTTTTACCAAAGGGGCACTTTTACCCGTTTTCAAACAGGTATTATTATCAGATGTAATAAAATCCAGAGGGCTTCATTTAGAGATTAGAGAATCTAGGCACTAAACAAACATTTTTCTTATGCTTTAAAATAAAATTCATGGGACGGG